TAAAATCAATCTACAGTATTAATTCTTAAAAGAGATACTCTTTTATAGTTATTGAATAGTGCTTAGAATGAAAGAACTATTCACTTAGAGAGATTCACAGTAAATAAACAGCTAAGTGTTCATTACTTAATGCATGGAAATGAATAACCATCTATCCTATTAGAAAAAAAACAAACCAGTTTTTTTTGTGCAATAATATTCAAATTTATTCTAGATTATTCTTGAAAAAATAACCAAAACATCTCAAGAAAAATCAAAAAAAAAATTTTTGATTAAAACAACAGATGCAGATGATGATGGTGATGAAGAAGAAGAAGATCTATCATCTGATAATGAAGCATTACAAATTATTTTTACTATTGCATCATTATTAATAACACATTATGATCAAGTAAATTTTTTTGTATACATAAATATATTATTATTATTATTATATTTTTAAGTTATCATCTGAAAATAAACAAATTCTTGCTTCACTTTATTCATCATTCGTATGGATTGAACAGAATCATTCAAATACTGAACTATGTCAATTAGCTCATGAATTATCAATGGCTTTCGTCACATTTGGTGCTGTTAAAGAAATTTCCAATGAAATCAAATCAAATTTATTAATAGAAGAAATAAATAATGAACGTGATTTACGTGCTGAAACATATGAAAATGCTTTTGCTTGTTTATCCGATCCAAGTATACCAATACGAGCACATGGTTTAATTTTATTTCGACGTTTAATTGAACGATCCGATAAAGAAACATTATTAAAAATTCAAGATAAAAATTTAAATTTATTAAAACATTTTCAACAACATTTACATGCAGAAGATTCCTATGAATATTTAGCAGCTATTAATGTTCTTTGTGTATTAGCTAATCAATATACAGATGAAATTTTACCAAAACTTTGTAATGAATATATGAATAAAAATCGAAAATTAGAAGATAAATTAAAAGTTGGAGAAATTCTAGTTAAAACATGTCGAATACTAGGTAAGAATTTAATTATATTAATTAAAATATAGAAAATCTTCTGGCAGATTTGATATGAGATTACTTTATAGATAATTAGTTTTCTAAATGACAAACTATGACAGTGAGAATATCTCTACGTTTTCTAATCATGGATATAATTTCATATCAACTAGTGACATGAAAGAAAAGATGATAATAATAATATAGATGGTTAAAGTTAAGTCTCTACTCAATTTTTTGTCTAATACAAACTGAAGGTGAATACGCCTCATGTTGCGCTGTTGTTGACGACGACTTACTAAAGTTTATTATTTTCAAGGTGATATGTCAACAAAATATTCATCGTTATTAATCAATACATTCCTAAATGCTTCAAGACAAATCGATGATGATATATATCGTGCAAGTGCATTATCAAATCTTGGTCAACTATGTACTGTTCTAAAGTATTCACTTTCAAAAGATCTTTCTGAAGTAAAATATTTTCTAAAAAAAAAAACATAAATCTTTATTATTTTTCTTCATTAGATCTTAATTGCTTTAAAGAGTTATCTATCAATATTTGAATCTTGTGATGTACGACGTGCATCAATTCTTGTTTGTGAACTTCTATGTCAATCACTTGAGCAATCAACATGGTTAACAGTACTCGGCAGTGAACTACCATCATTTTATCAATTAATTAATCATCTTTATAAAACTGATAAAGATGATATAGTACGTCTACATGCACAAATAGCACTTGAAGCATTAAATTCAATTTGTCGAGATTATTTACAACCACCAGTAACATTAGAAAAAAAAATTCGTATTCTATCATAAACTTTTTGTTATTATTATTATTATTTTTTTGTGAAAATTTATTTATTATTATTTTTTTTTTGTTATATAATAAACTTTAAAAACCTGTTGAAGTATAGTAACCGTATGTTTGTAAACGTCTTTGTAATACTTCAGTATTTCCAAGACCTAATAATTGTCTTAATGTTAAACGAAATTGTGGTGATGCTATTCCATAGAGAACAAAATTTAATGCATGGTTAGAATATGACATTAATAATGTTATAGAATTATACAAACGATAACGATGTTCTTCATTGAGTTCTTGAAATATTTGACCAAGAACAACAGGTGTTAATAATATAACAAATACTAAATTTAATATTAATAACATATAAGATATTTGCTTTGCACGTCGTGTTCCATTACGGGTTTTACCTTTAATTGCTATATGCATTGTTGTATGACTGAATGAAAAAAATAGACGATAGGCTATTATACTAGCACATATTGTCATTATAATGAATGGAATAAGTACATAGGATAAAAGATCAATTATATTATAAGGTTTTTCAAAGAATTTAAAATAAGTACTTGATGTATTATGAGTACATACAATAATAGTTTGTTTTAATGATGTATTTTCAATAGATAAATGATTTAATGTACGTTTTGAACCCATAAATAATAAAATATGACTATTCATTAAACAAGCAATTATACACATACCAAAAAAGATTTGATCGGCTGATTTTGGTCGACATATACGTTTATTTAATTGTATAACTGTACATGCAATAGCACGATCAATTGAAACAATCGTTAATATCCATGATGATAATTGTGTTGTTACATATGTAAAAAATGTATGAAATTTACAGAGAAATAAATTTTGTACTCGTATATCAAATAAAAAATAATCACGTAAAATAATATTTCCTAAACCTAAATATAATACAATAAGATCAATAATTGATAAATAAGCTAAATAACGAAATGTAGAATATCGACGTAATTGTTTTTGAGTAAAAACAATAAATGATAATGAATTTCCAACAGATCCAATAAATAAACAAACCAATGCAAATGGTTTTGTTATACTTGAATCATAAATATCACTTGGTTGCTCAACAATGGTTTGTATTACTGATGCTGTTAATGATATACTTGTTGTTGTTGGTGGTGTTAGTGTTGTATTTGATATTATGCTTGAATAAATACGATGTGGACGTATGAAAGATCGTGTAATGGTAAGAGAATTTGAGGTAGAACGCATTGATAATATTTAATTGGTGAGAAATATATATATTGACTCCTATTAAAACTAATGAATAACATTAGATAAAGATTGATATAGGAGATGTAACTTTGACCTCATTACGATATAACATCTTTTATTTTTTCTAGAAAACAAAAGCAAATATGTACAATAACATAAGAAGAAAAACAGACTTAGTAATGATATTTTAGAAGATCATATCATAATACATATATCAGAAAATGCTTAATAGATTAGTTTAGTTATACATATGTGACCTAAAAAATCGAGATGTACATCTATGTAACTTGATAAACTCATGACGTTTATATATATATATATAATATATACACACACACATATATATAATTGTATACATACATAGGTTGACTATGTCGATAAGAGAAAAAAAGAGAGAATGTCTCCTTTTTTTCTTCGGCTATCATTGCTACACACTTTTTCTCTCCGTGCCATCCATGATTTCCGCCTCAAGGCGCTTTGTTCTACCCCCGCTCTCTTTCACTCTCTTCTTTCTGGTAAAATGTTAGTAATATTCATCGATGACAGACAGGTTCGAAATATATACACGTCATGCTTATTTCTTTTGGTTCCAATCTTTATTGTCGTTTGCGTAGTCATCGACTTTTTTTTTCTCAACTTTTTCCTCTTCTATCTCTTCTTCTCTCTCTCTCTCTCTCTCTCTCTCTGTTTCTGTGACTGCCTCTTTTGATCAATGTAATCGTTTTTTCTTTTACTGAACAATGCACGTTCGTTTGCATTCGTGGTCCTAAATAATTGTGCTGACATTTCATAAACATACAATAGAAAAAAAAGAAGGGCATTTTCTGTTGACACTGATGTGCGTGTTTCATGTCATTATTCGTTTGTTATTTTACAATAACATGAACAGTTTTGGAATAAAATAAAGAACTATCTTATGTTGTTGTTGTTGTTGTTGTTGTTATCACATAGGATTCTGTAACTTAAAATCTAATATAAACAATATTAGTATTTACCTAGAAGGCATTATCAATTATGAGTTTTGTGACCAAAATACAAGTGAACTATTTCTTAGCCGATCAAAAAAAAACAACGTCAGTTAAGATGTAATATTTAACTATAGCAAATGACACTTATCATCAGTCGTTCCTGTCAAATTCCTCATGGGAAAATATGGCTAATTATAGAGTCAATGTAGTACAAATGACTTTTTGATTCTTGTTACATTTGAAAAAAATAAATTTTCATATATAATGAGAAAACTACTTATGAACAAAATCATTATTTTTTTATTTTGTTAATAATAGAATGTAAATTGAAGAAGTGCACTTAGCCTTTCTCTTTCTCGAAAAGATAATTGATTTTGATCACGAAATAAATTTGTGTGAAAAATATATGATTTCCCGTATATACACAAGAGTAATTTACTCATTAAAAACTAAAAAAATGAACTCAAAAAAAAAAAATAATATACTCTACATAAAAGATATAGACATAAAAAACGGGTCTTAATATGTTTTTCTTCGCTTATTTTCTTTTTCTTAGAATTAAGACGTCTTGTTGTGAAGCTTCAATAACGCGAAACATGTAGAGCTATAGCACCACAGGAAAATGTCATTGAGAAATAAGTAGTCGATTAAAAATAAGTTCTTCTTTTATGATACATTTTCTTCCGGTTTTAGAAAATAGATATCCTTTCTTTCTTTCTTTTTTTTAACAATTCATAACTATTGAATCAACGATAATATTTCTATTATTAAATAGGATAAATACATTTACGAGAATAAAAGATGTTTACAATATGTTTAATTAATATGTCATTTTTTATAATTATTCTTATCAGTGACAGTTGTTGGGATATCAATTATTCTAACTTTTTAACATAGATGTCACGAGTTGATGATGAAATATGCTTATTCTTCAAGAAAATAATATGATTTGTGAAAGAAAAAATTCAATCATAGATAAGATAGAATGAAAGAAGAAAAAAAAAGGAAACAATAAATAAAGAATGAATAAAGATGTTCAATAAGATGCGTATATTTCGTTTATCAATATATCAGTTAAAACTGACATAATTAAAAATGTTACTCGAATCCAATCATCTGAATACACTTTTATCATTTGTTCGATCAATTTCAAGATCGAATGATCCTGATCAATTACTAACTTATAATAAAGTATTTTTTAACTAATAATTATTCCTGAAAAAAACAAATCCTTATTTTTTAGCGTGCATCTTTTCTACTTAATTCATTATTAAAACAAATTCGTGATCGTTTACAATCAGTACAAAAATTGATAATTGATCAACGTTTAGAAAATGTTATTATTTCATTAGCATATTTAGCTGTTGAACTTTCAGACAGATGCAAAGTATGAAAAATTTTGTTTTTAATAAAAAAAAAAAATTTCTTATTTTATATTTAAGATTCGAGAAGATATTGTTCAAGTTTTAATTGAATTCTATCAAAAAATACCTACAGCAAAATATTATGAAGTAGCATCATTTAATTATAAACATGGTAAAAGATTATTTTTAGTTATGGAATTAATCTTCCTCGTTTTTTTTTCTTTAAATAGCTTTACCGCCTGCTGAAGTATTTAGTTTTTGTCTTCATACGGCTTTAACTGAATTAGCAGCTACTTCAGATACGTCAAAGATGAGAGATAAAGTAAGAAAAAAACCAATGAATTATATTTATTTTCTCAAAATCTAATTTTTAATTAGATAATGTTTCTCGTCGCGGAAATTATTCGACAGATAGTCGAAGGTTTACGTAAAGCAGCACATGAACATTCAAAAGGTAAAATATATTTATGAAAGATGAAAAAAACTTTATTTTTCTAGAGAGATATCAATCGATCTATCGATTTGAAGTACCATTTTTATTCGGAGCACTTCGAGCAATTGGAAGGTAAACTATATATTGAATACTTTCTTTCTATCGGAATACCTAAATCTTATCTATAGAATATCCATAACTGATCAAAGTTTAATGTCACAATTATATCCAGTAAATTTTATACCTTCTACACATTCAATTTATATTGAACAAATAACATCAACAGAAAATTCATCAACAAATCTTAAAAGTCCTACCATATCATTTCGTCCAATAATACCAAAAGTTCTAACAAAAAATGTTCTATCATCAACAAGTGATAACATACAACAATTATCACATTCAAATACAAATCATATTTTATCAACTGGTGAACAACAAGATTATTCAACAGTATATAATCATCTAACATCAACATATCGATCACTTTCGTAAGTAATTTATTACAAAATCAAAGATAAAATAGATTTAACTTTGATATATTCAACATATTTCAAAATCATTCATCATATTGTTCTCAAGGGAATAAATGAAAAAAAGAGAACAATGTCATATAGAATCAATTTTCTTCTCGATCATCACACATCAGATAAACCTACTTCTTTTTTTTGTATTCGAGGAAAAACAAACATATTTAATATTAGTTTTATAATCTTTACAAAAAAAAATACAATAACTGTTTGATGATTCTTATTTGATAAGAAGAATTTTATTAGATTATATAGAGTATTGAATAAAAACAAATCCTAAGAGATTTACTACTATTTTGCTTTTAAAGTATCCTGAGTATAGACTTACTAAAATTTGAACTTGTTGTAACAGATGGTTATTATTATGTCACTGTAATCATAGTTTTCGGCTTTTTTTTCTTAACGGAAATTCAATGTTATCTTTGAGTTGTTTCTAATAATATACAGGACATCCTTCCCGATAGACATCGTGACTCTTAGACGGTCTCAATACTTCTTGATATTAAAAAGTCAATAACTACTAAATATAAACGAATATGAGATTTTGTTTTGATTTATTACCATGTGACTCGTGATACCCTAAAAATAAACTAGAATATTGATAAAGATTTGTTTTTTTGTTCTAGTTCGGTAGACAGTAATGATATGCCAATGTTTGATGATGATATTCCAATAAATACTCTATTCTTTTCCGTTTCTGGTTCAACTTATCGTCGTCGAATCATTTCTTCATCACATATCAATTCCAATCGATTTCATGTTTGTGTTACTGTACCTATATTGGAACATTTACATGAAGTAAAATAAATTTAATATATAAATTTCTAAAATAAATTAAATTAAATTCTAGACATTAAAATTAATTGATAATCGTGTTGTTAAATATTTGGATAAAGTAGCAGTTGTTGAATATGATTCAATCAGTCGAACAAATATATGTACACCAAGTGTATGTATTTATTTATTCGAGCAGAAGAAACAATTTTTTTAATTTATTTATATTTAGTCAAAATCTCCAACACGTCATTTTCCTTATACATATTTCGGTGATTTACTTATATTATGTATAATAAAATTATTTCGTGATAATCTTGAATTACTTGAAAGATTTAATGGTAAGTTAAATATTAGATATTATTGTCCTAGTTGATTTCATTTCGTACAGGAGGGAAGTAAACTTATTTAGAACAAAGTAATAAAAAAAAATACTATTTGGGTACGTGTAATATTAAATACACTAATATTACTAGATAATTTTCTACTAAATATCCAAGACAAACTAAAAAATAATCGATTTAATATTGAAATTTTTTTTTATTTTTAGAACGAATAACATCAATAACAAAATCAACATATTTATTTGTACAACAATTGATATCATTAAAATTACTTGATTTAGATAACGATGAATATGAAAAAATTCCACATCGTTATCGAACACGTGTTGATGCAGATGCAGCAGCACTTGAATTACTTTGTCTATCATGTGATGATGAAATAGGTAAACAATTTCAACAATAATTCTAGTAGATTATTTGAGAATGTCAATTAGATAAACCTACCCTTTTGTTTTCCTTGCACATATTTCCTACTAATCACTACTCTTAGGTCTTCCTAGACACATGACAGGATTACTCAGTACGTATATTGGCAATATATTATTGAATCATTCTTCTTCTTTTTAATTTCTAATGCTTTCTTTTTCTTTTAATCACCTTGTTTTTTTGTTAAATATCAGATAAAAGACGTGGTGGTATATGTTGTTTA